AGGCTGTCTCCTTCTACAGCCCCGTCCCCATACCCAGTAAGAGCCTGTATGCCTCTAAGGTAAAAGCCAGAAAGTTGGAATATGATTATCCTAAGCCCTTTATGGTAAATAAAAAGGTATCCTATCCTGAAACCATATTCCAACTTTCTGGAGTTCCCTTTACAGCCCAGCCCACCCCCCACAACCGGCAAGGTCCTCAGGAGCACCAGCCGGGAAAGATTTGGGGAGCGCACTGCATTCTGCCACGTTAAACCCTAACAGAAAACGCCTCCATAAACAAATTTTCGGAAGATCAACAGAGCCCTTCTAACCGATACAAGCCCCCTCCCGCGCTTACAGGCTCGGACGCTTGTCGCTGGCGTCGGCCTGGCAGATTACGCGCAGCACAATTACTTGCTTCTAGGCTCATTCTTCATGTTTGTCGGAGAAGGTGGGGGTTAGTTTCGGGGATTCAGTGCGGCTCTAGGATCAAGGTTTAGGATTGGGTCGTGATGTTGATCTGCAGCAATTTTGGTTAGGGCCCTGGCTTAGAGGCAGCTTTTTCAAATCAGCTGGATCGTTTACAGCGCTCACAGAGGGGTATGCTGAGTAAAGCGCCCCAAGGTCCCTGCGATATACAGTGTAGACAGCCCTAATCCTAAACCCGAGTCTAACAATTTTTGGCTTTAGTAGGAAGGTTCCCGGCGGTAAATTATTGATCTTCTGACATTTGCCGTGGCGCTTGGCGCTGAACTTGGTCTTTCGCAAGCAGGGACATGAGATAGTTCTCAGAAGCTCCAAGCCGGCGATGCTGTGCTACAGCAATACCTGTCCGATGATCATGCCTGAAGGCGCATGGCTGCCCAGTAGTTAAAGTGTTCTGCCTGCGATCCCGCGCAAAAGCACGAAATCGCATGGAGGCAGGGCATGTTTGCTTAGTGCATCCACGCACGCACGCACCGGCGGCAACCCAGGTGGAGCCTTCTTCGTTAACGGCACAAATACATTAGGGTTTATAGGGTTTAGGGGTTTTGCGTTTAGGGTTACATTATGACACACTCAGCGCAAGGGTTTGCCTGAAGCTGAAGGCAGCTCTTCTGACAAAAGCCGGCACGCATCCCTGTTTAACAGTGACGGTTGTTACCAGTGAGCCTGGGGAAGGTCCAAATACTGAGGCCATGAAAGCAAGGCTTTGTTCAATCAGGGGTCTCCATCAATGGAGCTAGATCAATGGAGTTAAGGGCTGTAAAGCCGCGAAGTCTGCAACTAGCTCGTCTCAGGTGTCGGTCGGTTCAGTCCAGGTTCACGGCTTCGGCCGTAGGGTTTTTGACATGGTTTGATATTTGATATGAGTTCCGCTCAGGTTGAGCATTTCGAGATCTAGTATATAAAGGACGATGTCGGTTCCATTTATGCTGGAATGTTAAGGTTACCTTGTCTGTCCCAGATCCATGTTGAAAGTCAGGTTTTGCACGGGGACGATCTCCTCCATGGTAGCTGACGAGCTTTGGAGCGCATGGCAAATCCAGCAACGAGCTGCTTGGCCTGAGGCTAGCCCTAAGGCTCCATGTACCCTTATAGTAGATACTTAGGCCTTACAGTACCTATATAGGGTACAAGCCCCCCCAAACCAAAAAACTTCAACCCCAAACCGTCAAAACAACCCTAAACACCCCCCCAAACCCTAAAACCCTAAAGCCCTAAAACCTTAAAACCTAAACCCTAAACCCCAAACCCGAAACCCAAAACCCTAAACCCCAATACTACTACCCCCTAACCCTAGGCTGGTTTCTAGGGTTTATGTAGGGTTTAGCGCCTGAAATTTGAAGAAGTTAGGGCCTCTGAGTCTCTAGAAAGCACATTAACGTAAAGCGCCGCCCTGCAACCCTTCAGGGGCCTCTAAATGCACCCTGAAACTGCAGAGAGCCCAAAATATCCTTTAATTCAGGAATATAAGGGGGCCCTCATATTATGAGTTGAGCTATATTGGAGCCCCCTAAACCCTATAGATCCCTTGTAGGAGCCCTATGGGCTCTAGGTGTTCCTTAAGTAAGGGGTATTGGGCTCTCTGGGTCTAAACCCTAAACCCTAAAACCGAGCCAAGGCTAGAGCGCGGCCCACGTCGTTGTGTTGAACAACGGCACCCAACCAAGAGAAGACTTCAAACAGTAAGCGGAGAACATCTTTGGGGTGTTGAGACAGTTGTGCGGATGGCTTTCGCATCACCTTCAGGAGGGAGAAGTGGAGGTGACGGACTGGATGGAAGTGCATTGAGGAACACGAATCGAAGAGGTCTTTTCTCAGGTTCCTGCCCTGTTGATGTTCCGGGAGATGCCTGGAATAAAGACAGCAACATCTTTGCACTGATTTCAGCTTTCCTCCAACTGGACATCGAAGACCTCTTGCTGTTTGTGGAATATTATCGATTCGGACACGTCAGTGGAGCTGAATCAACAACTCCGGCGACTGCTATATACGACGCTCAGCGTCGTTTGGAGATTCCGGAATCAAAAAGGCGATCCGTGTTGGCAGCGGCGAGGCTCTCTACGAGATCAGTCTGGAGAGAATTGGCTCCACTGCTTTTGCACGCCCGTGACAACGCCCCAAACACAAGAGGCAGCACGGAGCAACAAAACTTCATCGCAAATGCATGCCGCACGATGAAGCCTTTGGGTAGGTAGGCCGTTGGGATAGTTCCCTTATTGGGCAAAATAGGACCCTATGTACGAAAAATTTTCAGAGGCTTTTAGAGTGCCAACCTAGGAGGGTCGTCTACATGATTGCTCATTTTCAAAGTACTGTCCAGCTTTCGAGAGGTTAAGCGTTGAAAGTTCTTTAGCTTAATAGCTTAAGGACTTCATCGTTTGGGCGTTGAAAATGTAAGGCTTAAATTAAACCCCGAACCCCAAACCCCTAAACCCAATCCCTAAACCCGTTAAACCCTAAAGCCCTTAACCCCCAAAGCCCCAAATCCTAAACCCTAAACGCTAACGGTTTTGGGTTCAGGATTCCAACTATTCAATTCTACCTTACCGACCCGCAGCTCAGTCGGGAAGCGCACAGTACTTGGAGGTTCATGGGTAGTTACAAGTAGGGTCATGAGTAGGGTAACTATACTTATAACCCATACTAGGGGACTTTTAAGCCCACTTAGAACTACCCATGAAGCTCCAAGTCGAAACCCGCATCGAAGCCTCGAAATGTTTTTGCAGCTCCTTGGTAGAACTCCGAATGCAGGCAGCAGCGTTCAGGGATCAGGATACAGGGTTTGGGATTTGAAGTGAGGCTTATGGGAGCTTTGGTAGCACCATCAATGCCCACTGCAACCTTAAAAGAACCCTTTGATATTCAACGGCAACCGAAACTCTAAACCGAAAGTCCTAAACCTTGGGTACTGTCCCCACCCAGAAACAGTTGGATAATATTCATAATTAATATAGACATGTTGGGACCTTAATCGTAACCCTATACTATAGACTGTTACCCTAAGGGTCCATTGACCCAAATAGTATGTACTTTCGCCTTAAAGTACTCCCTATATATGTACATTGGGCCCAAAGTATATACTATTTGGGTACATGGACCCTTAGGTCAAACGGGGAAAAGGAGGGACCCTTAATAAGGACCCCTAGGTATATACCCTTGATATAGCAATTATGTACCCATTATATAGCCCATTATAGGGTAGGGGTTCCCATTAAGGGTCCCTCTTCCCCTAAACCCCCTAAACCCCCAAACCCCTAAACCCTAAGCTTGGGGGGGCCCCTGCGCAACTAATCAACATGCCTCTTTAGAAGCTACACGCCAAGGCAGAGATAGGCCATTCGGAGGTAGACAGAACCATGTTTTCCACATGCTTGTGTGTTGTCAGAGACAGTTTTTCCACATGCTTGTGTGTTATCAGAGACAGTTTTTCCACATGCTTGTGTGTGGCCAGAGACAGTTTTTCCACATGTTCTGGTGCCTGCAAAGACAGTTTTTCCATGATCAACCGTGCCCTTTCGCGCAGTGTTGCTGACCCGAGCAGGATGTCGTAAATATCTGCCAGTAGCAGGATGAGTCAGCTGCCGGGGCATTGTGGCATCTGTGTAATCTTGGAATCTTGGGATTTGCGAGGGAATGAGTTTGATTCAACGAAGAGATGCGGTACTGAATGGTGCATAAGCAATGCATGGTGCCATGGGAGAATGGACCTCTTCTTCGACTTTGATTTGTTGGAGGACTGAAGGTGCAAATTCTGGTGACGTTTTGTCCGGGTTTGGACGGGCTTGTCCCCGACCCTTTCTAAGCATAATCATAATCGATATCAAAGTTGGCAGGGTTGGGTGTTCCCATATATTATAGTTTCAGCTCTGCACCTCTGCTATCAGTCGGATAATTATTATATTATTATTCCCTTATTGAACACTCAACCCAGGAAAGCACACCACCTTGAGGTGAAATTAAGCCCGATTGCCCAAACTCCTTCTAACTCTGACTCTAACCTTAAACGGCAGGGGTTGTGGGCTTAGGTTAGGTTTCCTTGTAGGTTTTCGTAAGCCCAGGCAGGCCTTTTTCGCCGCTAGGCCCCAAGCCTTAAGCCTAAGCCTAAGCCCCGAAACTAAAACCACATTTAAACCCTACACCCGAACAAAACTTCCGAGATCTTCCGAAAAGGTCGGACGCCGGGTTATACTAAGTTATAAGTCTTATAAGTTGTATGTATAGTATAATAATAATATAGTAAGAATATACATATTACAGTATTACAGCATATGTACATATACATATGTGTTTGTATATATATATATATATATATATATATATACATACATACGAATTATATAGGTGTGCAATATATCTATATATCATATATATATATATATATATTATGATAGACATATATCATATTTATATATACACATTTGCATACATGAATGCGCTGCTCAATATATACACCGACGACTGTGCTAACATTCGTCGATCTTCCCTGGAAGTGATTCTGGTTCAAGCTCCTGGAACCCACGAAGAGATCGGCCATCATGCCTCGGGTCATCGACGAGAGCTCTGCCTGGAGCCCAGAATTCCAGAATCGAATCGATCACGTTGTGTGAGGCTTCTTGCGCTGACTGGTGGGGCATCTTTTGCTTTGGGTTTAGCTTTCGCACTTGAGATTTTGAGGCTTTGCAGTGCATTGCAAGCTAGCAGCTGTTCTTTCGCAGAACCGTTAGCCGTTAACGGCAACACTTTGCCAAACAGGCTGGAGCGACACAAACTTCGACGACCGAGCGGCCCAAAGGCCACCGTTAGAAGTGCATAGTTGTAACTGCGACGTGTGCGCGAATTGGTGCCACGGGTTTAGAGTGTCGCCTGCTTGCTGCCGGCTTGAACATGCAACCGCTGATTGCAGGCTCAAGATCCCTGGACCCAGTGGACAAGTCCAGCCGAGGCGAGAAAATCAGACTTGACTAGTCAGTTAGATCGGTTTTTTAACTCGTGTAGTCACAGTCTGGTAAGTTCCTGCATATTCGGACTCCTTATTGCTGTTCCTGTCGCTGTCGCCATCACTGTCACTGTCGCTGTGGTTGTTGTTGTTGTTGGTCCTGCACTTGTTGTGGTTGTGGTGCTGTTGTTGTTCTTGTTGCTCCCGTATCAAGCTGCTTGGCAGGTTCGTCCTCCACGATGCCAGATCATATCGTGGCGACCTTGGCAAGACCTGCCCCATTTCGAGTTCATGTCTCAAGGCCTTTGTTCCATCTCCTCTTGTTGGCAAGATAGCAGTGAGCAGTAGTAATTCAGCAGTGGGCAATAACGCATTGGCGGCATCATTGGCGAATAGTCCGATGCAGCATAATTAAACAAAACTAAACAGCTCTGCCCAGGTCAGTGCTCCTGCGCCGAAGAAGAAGCAGTCGGAGAAGGAGAGTGCGAAGCGGTCCGTGGACGCTAAGGAGGTTTTCGCTGCGTACAAGGATTTTCGATTTGATGTCTTTGTCGACGCCGATGGGGGTCTTCACTTCCCAGATGACCAGCCGGCTGAGAGCGAGTCAATGTCGGCACATCCCAAAGCGAAGGCCCATCCCAAAGCGAAGGCCATGCCACTGGAACTGCGTCGTGAGGATTCTTTCGATTCCCAGATTTCCCAGGATTCCGATTGGGAGGCTGCAGCCCTGGCGGCGATGGGGTTGGAGAGGGCTTGAAGTTTTGCTTTTTGACTTTGCCATGGCAATTTTGGATTGGCCTCTGGGCCAGCTTGTGCTATGGCTTCACGTAGGGCTAGGGCTAGGGCTGAGACTTCCGCTCTGAGCCACTTTGTCAAAGGATGAGCGACTTCTGCGCATCACGTGTGATAAAAGCTCTTCACAGCGGTTTTTCAGTCTGCCGAAGAGCATTGTTACCACTCGATCCAGCCATTGATACGGTGCTATGCCAGCATCTCATACACCTTGCGATGTCTGTCTGATGTCTATTTGCAAAACGCAGAGAACCAGGCACATTCCAATCCAGTTCTGTAGCCAAGTCGCAACATCGAACCTTTGCAGAAGCCCTGGGACCTGATGCTGTGCAGGACGTTGATCTTCCAGATCCTCCTGGTCCACAAGATGTCGAAGTACATGACCATGACCTGTTGGAGGCCCCCGCATCTTGCACGTTTCCAAGGATGCATGGTTTTGTGCATTGGCATCACTGAGTTGTCTTCGTAATTCTAGCTACACAGCTTGGTCATGTCGATCAATCATTAATCGGATCGTATAAATTGTCTCAAATTTCAACATCAGGGAGGATGCCGAGTGTAGCCATATATTATATCTTTGTAAATCGCAAATTCGCAAAATATGTGTAAGCAGTGACATGTGTTTAGGCTTAGCTTTAGGTTTCGGTTTCGCTGGAGTTAGGTAGAGATTTCTTTCGGAAGAGTGTTGTGAAGTGCTAAGGTAAGTGTTCTGTTAGGGCTGTTAGAGTGGATTGCGCTAATGCTAAGGCTAAGGGCTAGCTAGCGGTTCGCTTACGACGTGCCTCGTGGCTGCCTGTACCCTTGGAACCAAGCCAGCTGCTGTGAAGGACTTTGCTGATCAAGATCCCCGTGATGACGCTGGCGATGGTCATGACATGCTGGAGGACCCAGATTGGCAGCTGGTTCATGATTCAATGCGCAGCCTTAACAGCGAAGTGGACTTTGCGTAAAGCTTTGGGCTTTGGGGTTTTAGTTTTAGCCCCACCTTACCTTAGGTATAGGTCTGAGAGATGGTACTGTACCTGCCTGCTCTGACTCGTTGGTTTGTTAGGGAAAAATGTTAGGGTCTATGTCAAAGTCTAGGAGTCTAGGAGAAGGTTCTACTTATACTTCCTAGTTCTAGGTCCAAGGTCCAGGTCCCAGTCCTCGGTCCTGCAGATGGTCATTTTCGAATTTGCTTGTTTTGACCTCTCTCTGTATGTGTTTCTGTTTCTCTCCATTTCTCTGTACCCCTCCATATATGTATATATATATGTATATTATATATATATGTATATATATATATATATGTAAATAATATATATATATATATATATATATATATATCTCTCTCTCTCTCTCTCTCTCTCTCTCTGCTTCCTTCCGTTGCTCTATCTGCACAGGACCTGTTACCGCAGGAAGCAAGTGAGGAGGCCGGCCACTCAAAGACCCAGCTTCACTAAGCCGGTAGGACCAAGTTGTCAGAAGGGGGGGAGAATCAATTGGAGATTTCGGAGTGTTCCTGATCACAGTCACACTTGATATGTGTATAGCATTGCTGCAATTGCTGCTTCCAGTTTTGTGGTCTTGAGTCTGTCTTGCTAGTTTCGGTTCCAAAGGTTGGGACGGCAGCGGCTGCAGCGGATGCCGAGCTGGACCTGCTGGAGGACTGCACAGACCGTCCTCAATTGAAATCTGAGCCAGGTATAGTTTAGGTGTGCAGTGCAGTCATACCGTCCTTGAGTGTATAGTAGCATTGCAGCATGGAAGGAACGTCGTATAGTAATTATAATCTATAGTTTATGACTTATTAGAACTATTAACTATATATAGTATAGTATGGTATAGTATAGTGTAGTGCAGTGTAGTATGGCGACAGGATAGGATAGTATAGTATGGTTATTGTTAGTATAGTTCCGTATTTTCTTTGCAACCGGCAATATTTTGTTCGCCCATCGTGAGAGCAAATCTATCGCGATGAGCCCCCTTGTGAGGACTATGCCGCTGCCCAGATGGACGCCGAAGATGAGCAACTTCAGCTTGAGGCTTGCCCCCTTTGCGCTTGCCTTGCTTATTTCCAGATCATGTAATCCGTAATCCTATATAATGACATTCTGAAGTTGTATCAAAGGACCATCCCGCCGAAGTGAAGATCACATACATCGCAAGCAAGAACTGCCCAGCCTATGCAGCCGTGATTGTTTCTGCTTTGGGCTTTGGGGGTCTGAATGTTCGTCTTCGTGTTAACGCGGCATCCGAATCTGTTCTTATCGGAGGTGCTGGCTGCGCCTGGCGATGCTGTTAGTGCCCACGCCGAGGCGCAAAGCACGCTTGCTTGAGGCTTTGAGTCGCTTACCCTGCCCTTCCCGTTCCTTTGCAGTCTTGCTAAGGATGGAGTCGTCGTGACTAGTAGCTGCGTCAGGTATGTATGTGGTTACTGTAGCTGCTCCTTTAACCTGTATAGGAAATTAAATTATCGGTATGCCCTGAGGATCGCCCGAAGAAGCGTTTTTCGGGAGTGCGAGATCGAAGCGAGCAAGAGAAGAGGGATCTTGCTGCTCATATGCGTTTCTCCAAGTTGCGCAAGAAGTTGACTGATCTTGCAGAAGATCCAGCAGCAATGCCTGAGAAGCCGATGGGCAAGCGATACAAGTTGACAGCCGCCCAAGTATGTACAGTTGCTTTCAGTGCTTGCCGGAAGCGGCTGATTCTTGGGGAGCGGTTTGATGTATCCAAGCAGACAATCAGACGAGCTCTAGCTTTGGCGTCGATGTGTGTTATGGAGCGGCAGCTCCATCTGCTGAAGGAGTTTCGGGACTTCGCGACAGCCCATCCTCCTGATGTGGCCAGTGTCTGCCTAATGTGGGACGAAACGAGCCAGGTCCTGGCACTGGATGCCGCAGCGGGGCCGGTGAATCGACGACAGACATCGTCGTCATGGCAGGTGCTCGTCAGTCGCCTGCAGTTGGCTGTGGGATGGATTTCGGGGCCGAAACTGTACCGGGAATTCATTCTTCCCCCGCTGCCCTTGTCTTCCAACAATGCAACGAGCATTTGGAACGGACTTTTCCATCCTCCGCTCACTAAGCCGGTGATTGAGTTCGTGAAAGACATCCTTCAAGCCAGCTCGGTGTCTTCATGGTTCCATGAAACGGATTCCCACCTAGCAAACGAGAAGCTGCATTACCACCTGCAGTCGCAACGGCCGCAAAAGCCTGTTCCTGAAGACCCCAGCTGCTCCAGCTGCACCGATTTGCCTCAGATGACCGAATTATTTGTTTGCCAAAGTCATCAGATTCAATTATCTGTGGTCGGTGCGGTTGACTCCCTCCCCAAGATCGAGGCTTCCGGCGGCAAAATCATTCCCAATCTGTACGCAGCATCACTGTTTCTGCGGATGGGGGGCCATTTTGTTCGATTGATGGCTTCCGTCAAGTCCTTGCTCAAGACAAACTTCTTCCGATGGGTCGCTGTGCCGACGCAAGCTGAGCTTTTAGAGGGGAGGCTCTTTGCCGAAGAGCTTATAAGCTACCTGACCGACAACTTACGACACAACGCGAAGCAGATGTCTCGCCAGCCTGGAGGACATACTGTGCAAAAGGCGGAATGCTCCAGACTCTAGACTCTAGACTCTAGACTTTAGACAAGGGTTGCCCGGTCACCCTACGGAAGATTGACTAGGCCAGTCTATTACTTTATTTGGTTCCGGGTTCCTGTACATGATGAATTTCTGAGATTGAATCTTCTGTCCTTCGGGATTGTTTGACAGCTGCAACTGAACCTGGAGCTGTAGGCACTGTAGGCGTGCCAGATAACCTCGTTCGCTGTTGACCCGAATCGTTGTTTTTCTTTCCTGTTGCTGTTGCTTATATGATGGAGCAGGCTTACAGTCTTGCCGTGCGTACAGTGATTTACAGTAGATTTCCGGCTCTCGGTTCCTTGGTGCAGGACCTCAAGGTTGGCAGCAGGCCGCCAAGGACATCAAGGAATGCTTCACGAACGTCTTGAATGCCCCGTACTGGAAGCATGGCGGTCCAGTCACCCACCTTTGCGTCAACCGGTGCTGCGAGAGCCGTGAGCAAGCGGAAGAGAAGGCATTATGGGCCATTTTTCGCGTTATTTTGCGGACAGTTCCCAATGTCCCTCTTCTAAGCGACTGGACGAAGCTGGGTCCATCGTTGGACTTTTTTGTGGGGGCAGAGCATGCCGGTATTCTTACAAAACTCCTGGAGCATGCAGCCTGGGCTAGGGAGTTTCCCCAGTTCTCCGAGACAGAAGAATTAGCCCTTGTGAGCTGGCAGAAATTAGCAGGAAGCAGATATGCTCGCACCAAGCGCGTGTTGAGGTCAGAGGAAGAAAGGCTTCAGAGAACCCTTTTGGCTGTGTGCATCGAACCGTTGCGCCACTTGCACGACAAGTTTCTCCGCTTCGCGCACACCGCTCCGAGCGAGGAAGAATGGCCAGTGTTGTTGTCGCAGGTATGGGGGCCAACCTCCGCATTTGTGGCTGTTGGTCAGTACTTCAGCTCTCTTCTCGTGGGAGATTTCGGCCGCTTGCGACTGATTTGGCAATTGTCTGGCAGCTCATCCATGCAGGAATGGATCAATGATCATCCGTCACAAGCCAAGTTGGTGCGCAACCAGCTGCTCTTCGTCTGTGCTTCTGTCCACCGGAGATTTGCTTCGAGCTTGGACAAGTGGCCGTTCCGCTTGTGGGGCTTGTGCGACCCTCGACGAATGGATCACGATGAACTCTTGAGAACATTTTTTCAGATCCAGCCATGCTGTCTTCCAGAAGGTGTCGCTCGTGAGCTTCGCAGATCATTCACATTGGAAAATTTCAAGCGTGAGCTGCCCAAGCTTCGATGGCATTTTTTGCTTTCAGCATTCATCTTGAAGCTAAGCATTGCTGGGGTTGAGCGGAGGCACGCGGAGCACAAGCAGCAGGCAGATCCGCAGATGCCGTTTGGCCAGTTTGCTGCAGGTT